AGATCCGTTGCAAGAATGGAAACTACATGTTCTCCCATTAGTCCTTGAGTATCAGCGCCACTCTCACTGGAGAGGGCACCAAGAGTGCAATCTCACACCGCAAGAATCAGCAGGTCTATTGTCCAGATCTTGGACTTCTGACAGCAGCCATTTGCCAATGCAAGATTGCTGGAACCGCTTCCACAGCATGGACAAGATTGACAGGCTGGATTTCTCCTACGACTCGACATCATCTCATGCACTTTGCACCAAGAAGCGGGCATCCCATACCTATCAGCGACTATCAGGTATCAGGTTTCCTCTGCAGCTGCTCATGAACGCAGGGGCCGACAGCGACTGGCATGTTCCTCTCATGAGGCAGATCAAGAGCAAATGGGGGACTAAGTGAAGGAAAGAAACATCACAACAAGCAGGATTACAACAGGTGCGACACGTGTGCATATTGTGGCTAAAGGCCCCTTTTTCTAGCAATAGTTTTCATACTCGCCATAGAAAAAAGACCTCGCTGCGCTCGCTCTCAGCACTTGTTCATACACTGTGTTGACCAGGGATTTCCACAACAGGGTCAACCATCAGATGGTCAGATTCGCGTTGAGAAACAGATCCAGGGTCATAGAGGCTGCTACCACAGTGGGTATCTCCTGCTTAGGAGGCGCCCCCGGTACGGGACTCAGGGGGAACCTGCAAGCAGACTGCAATATCGCTCAGTTGGCAAAGGGCTTCCACACACGAGCCAACGAGCGCGCCACATCCAACAACGCTCAAACCAGCAACAGTGTTGAGCCAATCAACTGATCAACGGCCGGCTTCGAGCTTGCCACTGAACGCAGGTTGATTCTTCAAGTGAACTGATGCCTCAAACTCGCGGACATTTCAGTGAACATTTGGTACGGTTAGAGGACGGTGCCCTTGTAGGGACGCAGGCAATATGTGGCATACCTATGCATACCTATTGCACAAGCAACCAGGAAAGCGGAGCTTCTCATCTTCCCAATTTGGGCAAGCATCCGTCTCATGCTCAAATGCCCAAGCAGCCTCACTTTGGTGTTCCGTTCACGGAGCGCCGAGCCACATTCAGAGAAGAAAGCCCGGGGTTCGCGATGTATTGGGCTCCGTTCCCAAACCTAAACGGGGGCCTCCCCGCGAATGCTTCCTTGACATTTGTGCCACCGGCTTCTGCTCTAGAAAAACCACCCCAAATGAATACTTCCACCTTCTCCCACCGGCTCTAGATAACCAAGTCAGACCATGGCTAGTGGCCACTTACAAACTGGAAACCTATCAGCCAAAGGCTCGCCTGCGCCGAATCTGCAAGGATGGCATTGGGAAGACGGACAAAGTTGCATTGAAAAATGGAGACTCCGCCTGAAGCCACCGCCAACAATCCGTAGCGGCAACTGCTGTGACTCAACGTTGCCCGCACCAGCTTCACATGCCTCGGCTAAGCATCGGCCGAGAAGCTGCCAAAGGCTAAACCCCCCGATGGCAGTGTCTTCAATGAACGATGGTCTGCGCAAAGCAGCGAAACCCGCAGCGAAACTCACGCTCGGTTTTCACGGGCCTTCCTCTATCTGACAAGGAGGGTGAGAACTGTCCGGGTTTCTGACGAAAAGGGCCCTTTGAGCGTTTCCTGCGTTTCCTGCCGGGCGGCTTGCGGAATCCTGATACAAGGACGGCAGGACTCTCATGGTTGGTCTTCCCTGGCAGTTGAATAGCTGGACTTGAATCGGTTTGCTTGCAAAAAACTGGGCGCGCCAAGGAACAAATTGGCACTGGCCTGCATTTGTCATTCCCGAAATGCAAGCGTGCGCAACGGGTCAGAACTCAACTCTGAAGAGTTGGCCTTGATTGGCTCTAAATTGGTGGCAGCAGCGAGCCCGCCCAAGACAAACAACAAAGCCAACCTTCAGCGCATACCCTATTTGCAATTGCAACGCGAACCTGGCGATGACACTTGGTCTTTGCCTGTTGGGTGGGAGCTCTTTAGGCAAACTTGAAAATCACACATCTCAAACATTCCCTTGGCATCTGGCCATCTTTTAGCCTAGGCCTACTTAGTCACTGAAATAAAGACTGCATCGGCCCTGTCCGATGCCCCCATTCCTGCCTAAGCACCACCCGCTTTCCACATCACAATGCAACAAACCGGCCAGGCACCTTCGTCTTCGCAGTGGCACATCTGGAAGACGGTTTCTTTGCCTTCGATCCTGAAGCGTTTTTCAGCGATGCCCGCGCTAGCAAGCTAGCCCTGGAAAGGCAAAAAACCGCGGCCAAGCAGCGACAAAGCCTCCTTCGCCCAGAGTGCGCTGCCGCTCACAGCTGAGCCTGGGGCAGGCCATGCAAGAAGCAACTTGCAGCAACATGCCTTGCAAATAACCACAAACAACGGCTCTCTGCACACCGGGCGGCATCCAATGAAATGCGCCACAGTGGGCTCCCTGATGAAGAGCTGGCTTGCATGTATTGCCCCTCCATAAACCGCTTGGCAGTTTGCAAACGTCACCTGCCCGCGGCGCCATGGCAAGTCTGCAGTCAGCTACCCCCTGGATCCCCGTGGTCCTCCATAAGAGTGACATTGACTACCCGAGGAAATAAACGCCACGGATTGTCAAAACTCATTGCCTTCGAAGAAAGCCCAACGTTGCTCTATTGGGTGAAAGAGTCCAACGCTTTGACCATGTTGCTTCTAATAGGGGTCCCCTTTTGGGATGGTTTTTAGAGGAAACCAAAAGGACACCACCTGAAGGAGTCCCTAATTTTCAGAAACACCCATTTGATACCTGCCCGACTGCATCCTGACATTCCTGACCTTCTCGCCGGCCAGCTCTAGCTCTTCGGCAGCAATGGCGCCGCCAGACCTTGACTTAGCTGCCACCAGAAATGCCACGCACGCCACGTATGCCACATATATGTATATATATATATATGTGTATGTGTGTGTATCAATATATATATATATACATTCATACACACACACACAAAAACACACGCACATCTATATATATGTATATATGTATATATATATATATATAAATACATACGCCGCAGGTTGTGTGCTGTGTTTTCGGCCTACCTGGTTTAACGGACCCCAACTCAGCCCAAGCAGCTGCTTGGAGGAGCAGTTCAGGAAGGTCAAGGTCCCCGCCAGCTGCCGCACATGGCCTTCACCCTGCTCCCTCACTAATTTGGCCTCGGCGTGGATTTGGCGGCAAGCAAAAACGGGGAGGTTTCAACGTAGCTCCTAAAGTTCTTGGGCGCCTTGTGTTCTCTTGAAGTTTTGCTAGTTTCAGGTTTCAACGTAGCCCCATTTTTTTCTGTTGTCCTGGTGTCCTTTTGAAACCTGCCCGGCCAGGAGCCAAAAAAAACGTGCGTGGGGACGGAGTGGGCATGGCTGATGCTTCTGAGTGGTCGGCTGCAATGGCACCTCCACTGATGCGATTGTGGCAGTTCCTCAGATAGGAAAGACTCAGGATGCGATTCGGTGATGGAATGATCAACTAGTCTAAGAATGCTTTGGCTGAGGCTTCTGCAAACCCATCCGCTGTTCGCACTTGAATCAGGCGGGCTGGGATTTTCTTGTTGGCTGTGCCTCAACCAGTTTCGGAATGCACGTCGTCTAGAGTCAAAACTACTTAGCCGTCATGCCCTCCCTAGTCAATGTTAATGAGTGGTGAAGGCAATCCTGACGTGTTCTGTCCCACACTCGGGACGAGCCGAGCGGCCGGAAGGTAAAAGTACCGTTAAAGAGCAGGCCGCTTTGTCCTGTAATACAAGGTCCGAGATCCTCACTTCCGTCGAAGGTGATGGACCCATTCCTGGGCTCACCCTTTAGCCCTTTAGGTCCTTTATCGCCTCAGGTTTGCTCTGCACGCACTCCACTGCTCTTGCTTAGGCCCGGGGGTTGCGACGCTGGCCAAGATGCAAGTAGCCCTTCTGGGCGAAAACGATATTTGATTGAATCACGGTCCCCTCGACCCCCACGATCCTTAGGCAAACGGAAGAGATCCTCAATCAAGGGCCGCCAAATGGATTGCGCGCCAAGCAAAGCAGTCGCTGCAAGTCTGCGGGAAAATTGAACGGATCTCTCAGCTTACGCTGACAGAGAGTGACTTTGGGGTCTCACCTCCTGGACATTGGCACTGACAAAGGGTCAAGCGAGCCATTTCAACTCTGCTCATAGCCTCATGCCTTCGGCTCTTGACTTCGCTGACTCCAAATCAGTGTAAGATTCATATATGCCTGCCAAGGGTCGTGCAATCATGAAAGATTATGCTGATCCGGTTGTACTCGCGCGCCGCCAGCCGAATGATCCCACCAGGGCAATTGCCTGATGAAAGAGGCCGCTCCAATCTACTGCCTAACTAGCCGAGTTAGCGCATTCTGGGTTGAAAAGAATATACACCGAGAATGTACCGTTCCAATTGCACATGTCAGACCTGCATATTTTTCAGCCGCCGGCCGGCCACGCCTGAAATCTCGGGCGGATCCCCGAGGCAGAGCCACGGCAACGCTGCTGCAAGCGCTCTTCGCCCCATGGGCAGCGCATACCGGCTCGGCTAACTTTGCCGGAGCGAATGGGCAAAAATCGGCATGTGCCCACATAAAATTTGCCTCGCATTATGGACGTCCGATACGAGTTGTCTGCATCCAGGGATGGGAAATCTGTGGTCGGAAAGGTGTTAAACAGTAAAAGGATGCAGTTCGGTAGAGACTCTGTGCTGTCCAAATCTTTCCAGCATGTTCACGCTGACTCATGCCTGTGGGGCCAGCACCTCTCCCACTCAATCTGTGATTTGGGCAGCCATAGGGAAGCTTTGAGCCATCCATCAGCATGCTGGTGATTGGCACCTCGTCTTCAGAGTCTGTTACCGAATTTTTGCTGATTGGAACATGCAAACACTGGCTTGAGGCTAGCATCACCAGCTGCACATCCACCACTATTGGCATAGCTCAGCTGCGTGACACAGACGCATCAAAGCCACGTCCCAGAACGTCCCCGCCTCTCGTCAGCTTGGGAGCTTTTACGGCGGAGCACATCCAAGCGCGCGGCCACCTGCAAGAGGCTTCTCTCTCTCTCTCTCTCTCTCTCTCTCTCTCTCTGCCGTTGCGTCCAGAGGGTCTTGACTCAGCAAGGTAACGAAAAAGATCCCCCACTAAATTGAAGTCAGGATGAAAGGTCTGAATTAGTGAGCGGTCGATTTCGGTCAAGGGTGAGCGAGTCTGAAAAGATCCATGGGCAGTGCTATTGCTCCTCTTACTGTGGATGGTTGTGAAATCCATTTCGCACCATTCAGAAGCCCTGGTTTCTGATCCGATTCCCCTCTAAAAAACCAACGAAGGTTCTGGTTTCTGCGATTTCTGGATCTCGCCACCGCCTCTTCTGCAGACATGGCTGGAACGCCCAAGACCTCGATGCAAAACTCCTCCAGGTCCCTCGGCAGCAGGCCCTGCGGCCGGGGCCGGGCGGGTTGGCGCGCCGCGCCGCAGTTTTCGTGGCTCCTTCTGCAAAAAAATGTTCAGGCCACAAAAGCGAAAAGACCCCAAGTGGAAGCTCCTTTCCCTGGACCTGGCGCATCTCTTCTGCTCTTTGCGCCGGTTTGGGCAGCGCAGATATCTCAAAAACTATCCACTTGAGGCGTCACAAGAGAACCCAGGCCTCCAAGGCTGGAGTGCCCACTGCATCCACGGCAGGAACATTGTACCACCTCTGGGCCAAATGTATCTCAAGGTGCTCAAGGTACTGAAGGTACTGAAGGTGCTGAAGGTACGCTGAGGTACTGCCGTTTTACTCCATGTTTTTTAGCTGCTAGATCTCGGCATTGGGCAGCAGTTGTGACACCCGTTTCAGCAAATCTGCTAGCAACTGTGGCAGCAGCCCCGAACCTGAAGAGCAAAAACCTTGCTGCCTGAGGAAAAGGAGCAAACGCAGTGTTTTGCTACCAAAACGATGACTTCTGAGCACCTTAACTGCTTGAACTGTCCAGCTGGCTGCTCCATGTCAGCGTTTTTGGCTGCCCTGGTGGCAATGCTGTGCTGTTTTGAGATGCTTGCGCAGGGGCCCCAACCGCCCGTGCTCATTCACTTGGGTGTGGGCAACAGGGTGCTTTACACGCAATCCAGCCTGCAAAACTATTCATCCGAAAGTAAAGGCCTTTAGCAGGAAACTGCCACGAACGAATCATGCACAGATCTGCCGGCTTGCGGCTCAGTGATGCCCAGTGTTTGCTCGTCAGTATGGTTCATATACCTGTAGGTCTGTCCACCTCCCCGCATTCCGCCTGCCGCAAAAAGCTAGTCGCCACGGCAACGCTTGTGCCCGTGCGCAGTCTTTTTTTTTTAGTGGGACTTGGCGCTGCGAAGGCCTTGACGCTCAGCACAACACTTGCTACAAAACTTGCTGAGGCCGGGAATGAGAAATGGAACGACCCCTATAAACTTGGTTACTGTTGACCCCCCTGCAAAAGGTTTCTAAAGATCCAACCCAGCAGTCAAGTAAAAATATGGTTTGTGGTTTCCTTTCAGGGGACATTCCCTACGTCTCGCACCAGCAAGAAAATGTGCCCAACTGTAGTCACAGTCTCCCTGGCGTCCGCGCATGCAATCCACGCTCCGCTTCCAGGACTTAGATTTTGAAGATGTCGCCTGCACAGGCTGCATGCCAAAGCCGAAAAGAGACTGTATATTATAACTCCCCCCCTGGAGAACTAGTGCGCTTACCTCCAGCCTCCCACCAGATTGCGACCCCAGCGCAGTATAAATCAGAAGCAAGGTCTTGCACTATTCCCGCAAACCCGGACTTCCCCCGGCAAGCACGTGCCTGGCTCACCAGCAACAGCGGCTCCTCACACATCACATGGCCAGAGGGCTCCATGAGACGAGGTTGGGAGCACCGAGCCACCGATCCCCTGGCCTCGCTGAACAGCGCCAGGTGGTCCACCGCCAGCATGCCGCAGCCGTAGGTCTGAAGAACGCGCTACGGAGGAAGAAAAAAAACGCGGATGGGCGTGCGATCCCAATCTGTGAACAGCTGCCAGCCTTAAGGCAAGCAGCTGGAAATCCAGAAATGGCCATGGGTCAAAATCCAAATCGCACCCCCAGTGAACATCCCAATCCCCACTAAAATAGGTTCTAAAATGGGTGGTGCCCCTGCCCCAAAATGGTACCATTGGTTTTGACCCACAGCCAAATCACACCTTCACAGCTCAGATTGAGCGAGCTTGCCCGCCGGCCTGCTCAAGGCCTGCATAGGCTGCGCAGGCGAGGTGGAACGCATTGGGCCCCTCCTGCAAAGTGAAAGATGCATCCGTCAGTCTTAATTTGTCTTCAAGATGCCTATGCAACAAATGCGGCCATTGCCACATATTCTCATACCAAACATCACAGTTTAATGGCATACATGTAGCATCATGTAGCAACCAAGGAAAGAGCAAGCACCCCGCTGGGCTTCTGTGAGCTACCGTCCGTAGTAAGCTACCGGGGCAAAGCCGCTCGGCTCCTCTCGTTGCAGGCGGCGCAGTGCCTCTAAGCATTGCTCTGCTGGAAGATGCCTCGCTGGCTGTGGGGAGCCACGAGAAACCAACGGCTAGTCCTACCCCACAAATATCCACAGATGGTGGGCACATACACCTCACAAGCACTTGGGCAGCTGGTGGCATCTGACCAACGCCAATAATGAATGAATGTCTATGTAAACCTAGAAGGGATCACACATGGCACAAACTCAATCCTACCACTGCAGGCCGCGCGAAAATTCGACTCTCTTGTGGCAATGCCTGCTGAACTTCTGCATACTGTGGATGGACGAAATCCATTTCGCACCACTTGGAAACCATGGAAAACCATTGTTTCTGGGTGTTTACAGGGGAGTCATCAGACACCAGGGTTTCTTAGGTGGTGCCATTTCTGGATTTCCTCCATCCACAGTAGCTTGACAGCTTTGCCTGGAGATGCCCAAGACTTGAAGAAAGTAGTCCTGGAGGTTTGGAAAGAAGCCGCCTGCGCCGCCCAGCAAGGACAACACAGACATTGACAAAACATGGGGGGATTAGGACGCCCCAAAAAAAACGCGCGCAGTCCGCGCGAAACATCTGAAAAGGGACACTTTAGTGGGAACAGGGCTGAAGGTTTCAGAAAGTAGGTCAAACAAAAACAGGAGAAGAGTCAATCAGCATGCCAAAACCAACTCCAAAGCCAGGTGCCAGACATTTTAGCAGGCTGCCATTTGGCACAACGACCTGTTGAAAAGATCTGCAGCAAGTTGGCCTCAGCCGGGCGCTTCGTCCACAGGCCGGCCTGTGCAAAATGTCTTGCGATCTGGAATCCAGTTCCCCGCAGGCTGGGCCAGCTCTGACGCGGCCGCAGGAAGGTCAAGAGAAAATTACCTCTAAAATTCAAAGTTCTGCGAAGCCGTGCCATCCTCTCAGAAGTGGTGAGAGTAGATCATCTGCTCATAGCTTGGGTAAGGATAAACGCTGGACTCCATCACGCTCTCTGCCTGATTGCGAGCGCATTGGTTGCATGTCGAACTCGGCTGCTTTTCAAAAGGCATCGAGACAGCTTGAATGCTAAGGCGCATGTGCTCCAAGGACTAGGGTGCGATCCATGTGGCCATTGACTTAGCGCCAACAAGAGTGGCTTGCCATAGTCTTGGCCGTGGGCCAAATTGGCTGTGGGTCAAAATATGTAACCAAAATGGAATCCTGGTAAATGGAAACGTGGACGACCAAAACCTGCGGTCCATATCAGGCGGTTTAATTTTGACCCATACCCAATCCTTCACCCAGTTGCCAGTCCCCCCCTCCCGCTGTCAACTTGGCTCAGCCTTGTCCACTGCAGCTCGTAGCGCCGCCATCTGTGGCTTGATCTTGTCGCAAAGGTAGACAGCCTCCTCCGCCAGGGAGCTGTGCCTCGGCATGCCGCAGCTCAACTCCAGTGTCACCAGCAGCGGCGGTGGTTGGAAAGAAGCACTGGCAAGAAAGAAACCTACCGCGCCATGTTGCTGCGGCTCAACTCCAGTGTCACCAGCGGTGAAGGCCCGTTCTTTGGGGCATCTCTTGGAGCTACTGGCTGTGAACAAATCGCGACAGCTATATCCGCCGACATTGCTCGGCGTGTCGGATACTTACTAGAGGATAGAGGATAACCCCCCCCCTAACCCCCCCCCGCCCGACGTCTATTACGTAGGTTTTTTGGGGGGGGGGGGGTCCCCCACGTACCGCGCGGCAATTTGATGACGTTCCACTAAACGTAGTCTTCGGGGAGCCGGTGTCGCAAAACAGGGGTCCCAGGCTCGATTCCCCCTGCCGGCTTTTTTGCTGGCTTGGGCTTCCTGCATCCTTTTGCCGAAAATCTGGAAAAACTCAATGTTTTTGGACGTCCTCTTTGCGAAAACGCTGGAAAAACCGTGTTTTTTTTGCGGGAAATACTGGGGAGCAAAGGGGAAGTGCAAGGATACATACATACATACATACATACATTACAGTACATTACATTACATTACATTACATGACATTACATGACATTACATACATACATACATTACATACATACATACATGCATACATGTATGTGCATGCATGCATGCATGCATGCATGCACACATACATACATACGTACATACATTACATGCATTACACTTACTTACTTACTTACTTACTTACTTACTTACTTACCTACTTACTTACTTACTTTACTTACTTACTTACTTACTTACTTACTTACTTACTTACTTACTTACTTACTTACTTACTTACTTACTTACTTACTTACTTACTTACTTACTTACTTACTTACTTACTTACTTACATACTCACATACATGCATACATGCATACATACATACATGCATACATACATACATACATGCATACATACATACATGCATACATGCATGCATACATACATACATACATACATACATACATACATACATACATACATACATACATACATACATACATACATACATACATACATACATACATACATACATACATACATACATACATACATACATACATACATACATACATTACATATACATACATACATACATACATACATACATACATACATACATACATACATACATACATACATACATACATACATACATACATACATACATACATACATACATACATTACATACATACATACATACATACATACATACATACATACATACATACATACATGCATACATACATACATACATACATACATTACATACATGCATACCTACATACATACATACATACATACATACATACATACATACATACATACATACATACATACATACACATACATACATACATACATACATACATATGCATACATGCACATACATACATACATACATGCATTACATACCTACATACATACATACATACATACATACATACATTACATACATACATACATACATTACATTACATTACATTACATTACATTACATTACATTACATTACATTACATACATACATACATACATACATACATTACATTACATTACATTACATTACATTACATTACATTACATTACATTACATTACATTACATTACATTACATTACATTACATTACATTACATTACATTACATACATACATACATACATACATACATTACATACATACATACATACATACATACATACATACATACATTACATACATACATACATACATACATACATACATACATACATACATACATACATACATACATACATACATACATACATACATACATACATACATACATACATACATACATACATACATACATACATACATACATACATACATACATACATACATACATACATACATACATACATACATACATACATACATACATACATACATACATACATACATACATACATACATACATACATACATACATACATACATACATACATACATACATACATACATACATACATACATACATACATACATACATACATACATACATACATACATACATACATACATACATACATACATACATACATACATACATACATACATACATACATACATACATACATACATACATACATACATACATACATACATACATACATACATACATACATACATACATACATACATACATACATACATACATACATACATACATACATACATACATACATACATACATACATACATACATACATACATACATACATACATACATACATACATACATACATACATACATACATACATACATACATACATACATACATACATACATACATACATACATACATACATACATACATACATACATACATACATACATACATACATACATACATACATACATACATACATATACCATATACATATACATACATACATACATACATACATACATACATACATACATACATACATACATACATACATACATACATACATACATACATACATACATACATACATACATACATACATACATACATACATACATACATACATACATACATACATACATACATACATACATTACATACATACATACATACATACATACATACATACATACATACATACATACATACATACATACATACATACATACATACATTACATACATACATACATACATACATACATACATACATACATACATACGTACAATACATACATACATACATACATACATACATACATACATACATACATACATACATACATACATACATACATACATACATACATACATACATACATACATACATACATACATACATACATACATACATACATACATACATACATACATACATACATACATACATACATACATACATACATACATACATACATACATACATACATACATACATACATACATACATACATTACATACATACATACATACATACATACATACATACATACATTACATACATTACATACATACATACATACATACATACATACATACATACATACATACATACATTACATACATACATTACATTACATTACATTACATTACATTACATTACATACATACATTACATTACATTACATTACATTACATTACATACATACATACATACATACATACATACATACATTACATACATACATACATACATACATACATACATACATACATACATACATACATACATACATACATACATACATACATACATACATACATACATACATACATACATACATACATACATACATACATACATACATACATACATACATACATACATACATACATTACATACATACATACATACATACATACATACATACATACATACACATACATACATACATACATACATACATACATACATACACACACATACATACATACATACATACATACATACATACATACATACATACATACATACATACATACATACATACATACATACATACATACATACATACATACATACATACATACATACATACATACATACATACATACATACATACATACATACATACATACATACATACATACATACATTACATACATACATTACATACATACATACATACATACATACATACATACATACATACATACATACATACATACATACATACATACATACATACATACATACATACATACATACATACATACATACATACATACATACATACATACATACATTACATACATTACACACATACATTACATACATACATACATATTATATACATACATACATTACATACATACATACATACATACATACATACATACATACATACATACATACATACATACATACATACATACATACATACATACATACATACATACATACATTACATACATACATACATACATACATACATACATACATTACATTACATTACATTACATACATACATACATACATACATACATTACATACATACATACATACATACATACATACATACATACATACATACATACATACATGCATTACATACATACGTACATACA